GTCTATAAACCTAAGTAATTCATTAAAAAAGCCTGTCGATTACTTTTTTAATGAAAATACTTTGAAAAATATTATGACAGTGACACGTTCAATTTGTCACAATTACTTACGAAAATGACACTTTTAGATTCATTCGAATAAAAAATACTGTTAATTACTCGGCAAGGAATCGTAATTTTGACTATTTTGTTTAAGACATCGAGAAAACTCGAGTAAACGGTATTATGCGAGCTGCTTTGGTGCCCAGTACGGATTATGCTCGTTCCAGCGGTTCCGTAGAGTTCTACGTTTTCTTTATTTAAAGTACGCGAGAAATTCAGCACTTTCAGTCCGAAAACTTCTTGGAACGTGCAAGAAATCGATGAGAAAGAGACTTAAAAATTGAATAAAATTGGGTACATTTCGGCTGATCTTGGGGCAGTATTGCCAAACTATATAAAAACTTTCATGTCAACATGATTTGCATTTGAGGGTGATTTTGGGTCAGTTTAGGTCTCAAAACTTAATGTCATTTTCTACTTTACTACGCTCTCTCATTCGAAGTTACAATATGCACACTTTAAAGATGAACACTTTTCTAACAACTTTTCTTGAAGTATTTCTTGTGGAAATACGGTTTTCGACCACTTTTCATTAATTAAAATTCACTAGCAAAGGACGCCACAACATCGAACATGGTGTATTTTGTTTCTTTACGGAAAAATAGCGCTATTTCGAATTTAGTTCTCAAGAAGTTTTTTTGTAAACTCTGACAATGACTATTTTACAAGTACTATTTTTGTGCCTAATATTTAACCTAGACACAAATCGACTTTTGGTAATGGATTCACCAAAATGGACTCTTCAGCAGGAATGAAATGGAGCAAAAGTCCATCGAAAATATGAAAACCCTTTAGTGGCGAAATTTCGGCAAGTCACCCTGAATCGGTAGGTGGCGGCGATAAGCGTCGGGGTGTTGATAAAAGCCCTTTAAAAGGCCGCCAGAGAGTCATAAGTGATGATAGGGAGACGGGAGTTTGCGGAGTTATTTATTATAGCCGTTTAACGTGCCAGAAGTCACTCCCCTCATCACATGGGAACCGTATGCTCGTCCGCCGTTTTTCCGATATGTGAATCAGCGCTTTCCAGCGGCCACTTTGCCGCCTAATTTAACCTGCTGGATTTTTCAATTTCCTTCGACTGGTTTGCGAGTTGGCTGCGTAAAAAACGGCTTGCTTCACGAAGTTGCTAAATTCTCCTGCTTTCATTTTGGCATGGCATTGTGCCCCCGACGTTTTATTATCCTTTTAAGTCTCATTTTCCTTTATTCCCCCGCAAAACTCCTGCCGCTTTGCGACTTTTCTTCGCTACCCCTTGTGCTTTGTTCTTTTGTTTTCTTTTTGTGGCCCCGCTCTTTTTTTCAGTTCGGCCCTTTAATGGCCCTTTGTTGACTGGATCTCTTAAAAAATTGGTTAATTGGCGACGGCTTTCTCCGACCGGTGCCAAAATGAGTAATTGGGTCCTCATTTTTCAAATTCGATTAATTAATGTTGCTTTCTTTGAGAGGGCGATTTTAATTGGAGTGGATATCATTGATTTATACAGCGTTATATTTAGTTAAAGGTGTGTGCCACAGGTGGCTTTCACTCTTCTGAAGATGCAGGCCGCTTGTGCTTGCGAAACGTCAGGGCCTAAAACCACGAAAGCTCAACTGTGCCGCGAAAAAAGTTTAGGTTGCTTTTGGCGATTCTAAATAGAACATATCTTCGACATGAAAACCGAGCGGGACTACGGTGTGTTGTTTGTTACAAGCCAACGGATTATTTTGAGAAAGTAACAGTGAAGTTGCCGAAGAATTAAGACCGTGTTGAGTTCGGTAGAAACAAGCACCAGACCCGGCATGGAAAGGTTTCGCGCACATCCAGACAAGATCCGCATTATGCAACAGCGTGAAGAGGCGCTATATCTTCCTGTTTCTTCAAACATTTTTAACCCGAAAAGTTCCTTTTGTAACCAAAATGCGGTAAAACTTCCAAGCAGTTTTGCACGAATTGAAAACCGTAGTGGTTTAGTGAGTTTATGAAGCTGAAGTTGAGCAGTACAGCCGATTAACGTCATGCAATGAAAAAATCAGACACACTCACCTCTCTTGATGTCCACTTCGTTGGCGTCGCGCAACCTGCTGCCATCCTGCAGATTTTCCTGATGGCCGCGCCCGCTGGACGAAACGTTGTACAAGTCACTAAACGCACTGGCATTGCCAAAGAACGTGGTTCTGTCCTGCAACCAATCGAACAAATGCATTGCAGGTGATTGGGTGCAGCGAGAAGAGCAGCAACGGTACCTGCAACGCTGCCTTGGCCTTCTCGACGCTCTGTTTCAGTTGCTCGAAGGTGCTGGGGTTGCAAAAACGGTAAGCTGGCCAATCGCTGGCCGGACTGAACTCTTCAGTTTTAATGCCTAAAGGGCAGGCGCTGGTAGTCGTCCGTTTCAGCTCCAAGGCCCCCTGATAGGAGCAGGAACTCTCGTACATTTTGCGGCGTACGCTGCACTTTCGTCTAGAAACAGATGATATTCTCTTGTAAAGAGGGAAGAAGATTACGAATTTTCAACGAAACTAAAAAAATGAAGTTGCCCATTGAACGTTGCCAAACAGTTCAGCTTAAATACTCCAGCTTTTTAAAGAGACACGATAAACTGAACTCAATAATTTTATTGAAGAGCCCTGTACTGAACAGGAATTAAGCAATTCACCTGCCCTTCCAACGTTTATCCAGCCCTTGCGGGCGCATTTTTCAGAGCCGATCGCTTTGTGCACAGCCAATCTAGATTCTGATCTATGAAAACGGGATTTTCTTGCAAATATCATTCGTTACCTCATTGTTTCGCCTCCTGCAATCACATTCCCTTACAACGAGGCACGGAAATCACTTGTTTTTTCCACTTTTCGTCGTCGGTTTTTCCGGTATGCACGTCGTGAAACGGCGCACACGCATTATTATTATCACTAGAAAAATCAGCTTGTCGACTTGAGAAGGCCCGAGCCGATTTGGTCGCGTCCGAATACACGATTGCTCGTTTCCGTTTCAATTAGAAGAACAGGAAGAGCTCCCTCATCTCATTATGCGCCGTTTTACAATTTGTATTTTTAGCGCTAAACGCCTTTTATTATCGCGGAAAATGAACGGCGGGCCACGAGACCGCTATCAGTACACTTTAAGAGTTTCGGGAGTTTTTGAATGATAAAAGCATTTAACTGAAATGCCGCTTTAGTACTCACCTTTATAATCAAGCTGGCATATCACATGTCCCATGAACGGTGTCTGAAGCCTGTGCGAGATCCGTAAAGCGTTTGGCAGAGTTTGCGGTGGTTAAAATAGGCGCGATCCTCACTGCCATCCATAGAACAGATGCATGAATGGACAGGGTTGATTGTGGTCCGGCAAGCAATAAAACGAGCGTTGTTTCCTGCGAAAGTTGGCGAAGAGCGTTACGTTCCGAAAGTCGACCGGCGGCTAATTGGCGCGCGTTTTACAGGATTGTCCTTTTGACAGATCGGGCAGGAAAGTGCCAGGAAATGTACTCGTGGTCCTGTGGAATACGGCGCGCCGCCAACAGGAATGGCAGGAAACGATATCGCAAGTGGCTGTTCCTAGGGGGCGGGCCAGGCCCAACCCCCAATCTTTTCGCTCCCCCCTGCCCGTTCGCTGCTCATCCCGGAACGCGCTCCTGCCTCGCTGCGTGCTCGATTGTTTTGCGGGATAAGTGAAATCCTGGTTGGCGGCTACGGGAGAAATCATTTTGTCCGGGATTAAATATGGACGCCTGCAGGTACAGGCTGTCCGTCAATTGCCACCAAACAAAATCATTCCTGCCCTCAATTGATCTCATGAAGAAAGTTAGTTTCGATATGTTAACACCCTGTATATTCGGATGAGTTAAACAATAATTGTAGAGGTGGCTTGTGATTTTCCCATCACTGGTCCCCTTCAGAAGCCGATTCGTTTCCCTTATCATCAAGCTCTCGAATTTTGGCGCGACTAATCGCGACACTCCCCCTCAATAACCGTCCATTGTCACCAGCTGAAACGATTTGGCAACATTAAATCAGGCCAGATACGCCTCATTCTCCTCAATGGAACACGCATCTCATGTTGGAGGGCCTGAGACTAATCAGTTTAACGGCTGATGCGTTATGGGAAAATGTTTACTTTGGACCTATCGATTGAAACTGCTGCACTTTTAGCATGAACGACTCGCATCTGCAGTCGCCAAGCAAACCACATCTGAAGATGTAGTCCACTCGTTATTGCGAAACGTCACGAAGGAATGTTTCCACGGCGTTCTAAAACGTTCCACGAACATTTTCCACGACGTTCCCCGTTTGATAAGTTCCCTCTGAAATTGATGGGGTTTTAGGCCTAAAAGGCCGATAACCACATACAGGGTGATTCAAAATTGGCGTCATTCCTCTGGAGGTGTTGTCTGGCGCTGTTATAGGAGTACAGAAAAAATAGTAAAAAAAATTAATTGTTATTAAAAACTGAGAAATTTCCAAAAAACTATATCAGAAAT